TTTTTTTTCATGGTTTAGATCTTGGCTGTGTCAGCTCTGGTACATCATGAAGTGTCACCAGACAAAGCAGCACCAAAACAGAAGTTCCAGTATCATTTTTGTGGTAAGTTCAAGGTGTAGTCCCAGAAAATATCCATACCTCCCCACAGAGGAGATTTTGTCTAAGATCCCCCCCCGTCCCCACCCTTTTGGAATTTCCAACAAAGCTTCATACATTTCTTTGAATTCTTTGTTCTTAGAGAACCCCCACCTGCTAGGAAAATTCCAATCCCTTCTGTTGGGAGGGTATGGATATTTTTTGGAACTGCACAATAGACAATTCCTTCTGTCAAAACATGCAGGGTTTAGGATTTTATTGTACTTTTTTTATATGAAGCAAAGTGACAAGCATACACATTATTTTTGGATTTTTCTCTTGGCCCTTACAATTCAAAGCTAAATTTCAAATTCTCCATACTGATTGCAGTAATTTATCTTACCATCAGTTCTGAGAATTCAGTGTTTCATCAAGACAGTGCCCTCAAATTGTATTCTAGGCAGTGTCTTCATGTAAAGGGGAAATTGGTTGTTGAAAAGGATTGTCATGCATGTGTGGTTTACGAGTGCCTCACCCACACACTCAACCACAAATAAAGAAGTGATAACAACTGTACTTTTCTTTTGCAGCTGTAAGCAAACCGAGTGATCAGATGTACCCTTATGACTTCAAAGATGCTGTCAGGAAAAGGGTAATGAGTTATAATACATATTGCATACATTATGTTATAGTTTATGTTATATTTGAAATATTTGTTTACTTATTTACAGTGTCCCCAATTAGCACATTAGTGCTAANATAATACATATTGCATACATTATGTTATAGTTTATGTTATATTTGAAATATTTGTTTACTTATTTACAGTGTCCCCAATTAGCACATTAGTGCTAAATACACCGACACTTAAATAAAGTTTAATTTAATTTAATTTAATTTAATTATAATACATCGTAAATAAATTATGGAAAAGCAGGTAGTAATACATAATAAACTGATTTGGTGGTAAGTTGAATTTTCAACAGTAATCTGTGGAATTCCTAATTTGTGTTTCTTTAGCAAATTAAAATGGACATCACGACATCAGAGAGAGCTCTTCTTGGATTATTTATGGCCAAGATTCACAGAATTGATCCAGATGTTCTTGTGGTATGTTTATTCATGTTTTTGGTTATAAAAAAAAGCTAATGAACTGGACCGGTACAGGGCTGTCATCAAGGGCTGTAACCCGTAGAACCTGTTACAGCTGAGTATGCTTTATTTTCCCTTGATGTTACTGGTGAAATTGCCTGTTGTTGATAGAATTTACCCATGAAGTAACAAATTTGCTACGGGTGTGGAGAATAAG